TGGCAAATCTCTCTCACCTATCGGGTATAGCTTACATATTAGTTCTGTAACATATTCCTTTTTTCTCTATAGTACATGGAGGCAGAAAATGAAGGCAAATACCTTTAAAGGTAGAGTACATCATATGTAATTTGGGCATTAGGCCAAAAAAAAAAAAATATTCGGTCTCTGGTCAGACCAAAGTTCCGGAATTGACGCGGCCACGCGGCTTTTTTTTTTTTTTTTCCTTGTTTTTTTTTCTTCAAGCTTGGATTGTACAGACAAGGTGGGTACTATTTTGCTTTTTTGGTGTCCTTATGTACATTGGTGTCCTCCACAATTTGCCTTGGTGCTTTCGATCATTTGCCTTGGTGCAATTTCCCATTCCTTGGTGCTCTTTGGTAAAACAAATTGAGGAGGTGCGGAAATAGAGGGCGCTGTTGGAAATACCGCGAAACATTTTGTAAAAAAAAAAGATCGACGCGCATGCTTAAAATCGACGCGCGCGCTGACCAGAGACCGACTTATTTTTTTTTTTGGCCTTATGTTCGTTTGAAGCAACAAAAATGCTGAAAATCCAAAGAAGGGTGCTGAACAACCAACCTGATGAAGTCTCGCTCAGTGAATGCTGTATATTCCGAGAAAAACAATATTTTTAGGATCTCGATTTCAAATCGAAAGTTGCCGAGTCATGTTTTGAATTGCGCCCGAATTCAGCGTCCGGGACACGTTCTCATTCAGTCCGTTGAAGCTACGCGATGTCGCGCACTAAACCGACGAATTATAGCAACTGCGCGCGCGTGGGCGTCGCGTCAATTAAAAACGAAGTATACTAACGGACATTTCCAAGAATGCGTCTTTAGACGCATCGTTGCAATTGGCCTTCTTTCATTGTTTTCTTCAAAACGACAGCTTGCCATAAAGAATAATTTCACAGGGAGTTTAGTCCCATTACTATCTTTAATCCAAGTATGCTTTTCAACAGTAATTCCGTCAGTTCACGTTGCTGTATCGAACTATCTTCTACCCGGCAACTGTATTTATCATGAAATAGCTAGATCACAAATTAACAAAAATAAAACACCCAGCAGCGGAGCCAGGGTCCTCATCCGAGGGGGTGATGGGGGGGGGGGGCTGGATGTTACAGTGGGGGCGCCCAATTTCATTCGTGCTGAAAGGTAGACAGGTTTTTTTTCACCGGACACCTGGCCTCCGTAAAGTCAAGGGGGGGGGGGGGGGCTGGACACCATTTTCCCATGGGGGTGCTGCTTAAAACCGACATCATGGTCAATGTCAGACAATAGGTGGTGCGATTTCCACGGAACGTTCAAATCAACAACCAATCGCGAAAATCAAGGTTTTCGGGAACAAAAAACAGAAAACGTGAAAAGGACAATTTATTTCAAACCAGCTAAGCATGGTAACTGATAAGACTGTGATTTTCTCCGGTTGGCAAAATTCCAGTTGAAGCGAATGGGGGGGGGCGAAGATTTTTTTATGGCGGCGTGCGCCCCCGCCCCCTCCCCACGCCCCCCCCCCCCCCCCGCCCCTAGCTACGCCGCTGAAAACTCCGCCAATTAAATCAGGCAGCAATTAAAGTTAAATCAGGCAGAATTAGCCCTTTTATGGGTAAGAATCTCTGGCAATATCTCGGGAAAACAAGACAACGCCGAAAAACTTGTCGACAAGCGCGCGCAATCCCATAGTGCACTGCGAGCGGCCTTAGGCCTTTAACGAGTTTGTCCGTAAAATGCAAGGCGTAGTTCATTTACGGTTACTCACATTCAACATTAACATACCTTTCACCGTAAAAAAAATACAGAAATAGTTTTTTACAGGGCACATTCTTGAAATTGGTAACAGACCTCAACAAAACAATTTTTTTGCCAGGCCTTTTACTGCAACACTACACACCATTTACGCTCTAAAAGCATTGATGGAGCAATTCATGTTTCACAACACCCTTTTAGCTTTTCCCCTTCAATCTTTTTTACCGATTCAATGAGAAAAAACTGAGTCATTTTCTGCCTGTCGGTGTTTACGATTGAAAAAAAAAAACCATTAGGCTTCCTTTAGATTGGCGATCATTCATAAAAGGAAAATTGGTAATTACCTGAAAAATACTTAGCAATTTCATGCAAAACTTTTCTGGAGTGCATGAAGAAGTGCGCCCGCAGGCACACTTTTTTTTTTACATGCGTTAGCAACGGGAAACCCCATACGAGACCCAAACAAATAATATCGGCGAGGACGATTTCTCTCTTGTTTTCAATATTTACCATAACCACTGAGTTAATCCAGAAAATGACAAAACCACGGTCATCTTTGTGGCTTCCAAGACTGCAACCTGTCTTTCCCAACAGCATATCAGCTGGCAAAACACAAGAAAACTGAAGGCCACCACTGCAAAAGAGGAAGACCGACAACTTCACGCCGTCACTGAACTAGACACACATGTACATATGTACATGCAAGTGCATGTACATGTAGGCTACAATACATGTTCAGTTTAGGGGTGGGTGGGTGGGTCAAAATAATTTGGAAAAAAAAATCGAAATTTTAAAACATTGAACATTCTGAATGGCCCCATACAACTCAGACAGGTCCGTTGTTATCCACCCTGCTTAATGTTATGGAGTACTTTTGTTGCCTCAACCTTAAACGAAAATCGTGCCATCAGGTTTACGTTCTCCCCAACATTATTTTCATTTCATTCCGTTTCGTCCAGCGGAAAATAATGATACCGCCAGGCTTTTCACACTCAAATGATTCCCCAGGGTCCAAACACTTCCAGGTACACTTCTCTCAAAACTTTTCCCGGAAAAAAAACCCCGAAGCTAACGCATGATGTTAAAAACATTTTGCACAATGAAAACCTTTGTGCTGGTTTGCGTTCTTTCACCCATTTATAATGAAAATTAACCCGGGAGGTGACGCGGCAGTTGTGATGCCCGTACGGTCTTTACGGCTGCAAATTGGCGATGAAATTATTTTACAATGCCAGATGTACCGTTGGCCTATTTCACAATCTATGTTACAGGAAACTATTCTTCTATACCCTCCTGCCTCAGCTGTCACAGTGTGATAAACAGAATGGAATTGGGTTAATATGAAGTAATCATGTTTCTCTCTGCAAAACACGAGAGGCAAAAGGAATCTGGAACATACCTGCCCGGAGAGCAAACGTCATCGTTCTTAAACCTGGCTTTTGTTGCTCGGTAATAAACGTCAAAATCAAAGCCCCTCGTACAAGGTGTTCGTTATTCTACAGTGCTTTGCGATTTTTGTTGCCTGTTTTTTTTTTCAATTGAAACTTTGCAATACTCTGTGACAAATGGCTTTCATGTTGCATTTCGTTGGCTTTAATCACAGCTCAGACATCCGTTGACGTACATGGCGGATGTGTCTAGCGAATAAAAAACCGAGGCGATCCTCAGCAGGTACTGCAATAGACGTGGGTAAAAAGTTGCAGGTGAAGAAAGATTGATTTGTCCCAACGGAGCTTGAAGGTTTTTTTTGTGCAGTTTTGGCGTTTGAAGTTAAAAAAAAAAATAGCTCACAATCTCTGGTAGGGTGCATTAAAACTTAGTATACAATATACATTTTGAGAAAAACAGGGGAAAAGTATCCACTAATTTCGTGTTTTTTTTGATCTTTTTTCTTGGTCTTGTAAAGTGAATTCCATTGCTAGCGCTTCTGAATTAAACAAAAACCCGCCGTTTTATAATTCTCGCAGTATGTAACGATTATCGTTTTCTTTTTTAATCTTGCCAGGCGCCACCGTTGTAGTTTAGTTGTAATCCACCACAGTACTGAACTTTTCAGTATGATAGTGCATAGGTGTAACGGTCTAACACACTCCCTTCAGCAGGCGTTTTGGTGTCTAAATAGATGGATAGAGGCCCTCTCTGGTCAAGAAAACATTTTTTTAAAGCAAACAAATTGTATGCAGGCCCTGATTACTCTTTTTTTTATTTTGGTCAGTACCACTGCGAACAAAATTCAAGTTTTATCTCCCTGGTGTTTGACTGGCCATACCCCTCAACACAATAGCCTGAGGCTACACGTATTGGCCTTTATAGCTAAAAAGGATGAGGAAAACCTGTTTCCAGGCTTAAGTCTGGGCCTAGTGACAGGATGATTACATGGGCTTGTGATGATAGCAGCAATAAACAATATAATTACAATACTATATACGTGAAAATACTAATCTATGGGAGTTGGCCTGGGTCTGATCTTTGCCTCAGAATTTCTTGGTCACAAAATCAACCAGGGTTAAAGGGGCACTCACATTGCTTTTTAGTAAAGAATTGAAAATTATCTAAAAATGTACTGACAATGTCAGTACTGTCGCACACCACAGAGTTATAGTATGCCCAGCGACCACACAGTTTACTAACCATCTATACAATTATTGTTTATTTTCGAAAGTTACCATTTCGGGCAGAATCATTTAGCTGTGCATTTGGTACTAGTCCTTTCTTCACTTGGAACGATGTTTTCTTCTAATTAAATCCGTTGGCTCTTTGCCGATTAATTACCACTGTTCCTATGTGCCTTCAATCGCCCATTTATCACACAACCCTGGCCAACTGTCTGTGCAATCAGCGTTACAAAAAAAATGAAATTCTCAACAGCTGGATTCACAGACTTACTATTTTTTTGTCTGAATATGTACTTCTTTTTACGGACATCGCCCGCCATAATACTTGATGTTGAAATATATGTAATGGCTTAATTGGAGATTTGACAAAACGTGTTTTTGAGATGATGTTACGTATAAGGGTCAGAGAAGAGGAAATCAATCTGTAACGTGTTTCAGTTATAAAATCAAGATTCCGCGAGTGCAATTAGGTCTGGAGTGCGAAGCAAAAGGTCAGAGCCTTTAGTTTCTGAGTCTTTATCTCGCTGTAGACAAATGAGGGCGCTCTTTTACCCTACTGTACTGAGAACGGGTGACTATAACGCCTGTAAACATACTGTTTATGCGTTTTTCGTTTTTTCCTTCTTGTATGTATTAGATACCACGGTATTTTCCGACCTCTGCGTCCACGCATGGAGAAGGGGAGACTGCTGCTGATAGTCCTGGCCATCTGGTGCGTGTCCTTCCTGGTTGCCTTACCCACCCCTCTCTTCCTGACAACGTCGCCCCCGACCACCGACTGCCGGGGCCGGACGGTCCGGCTGTGCTACGAGGGCTGGTCCAACCCCCGGGCCGCCAAGGGCTACATGATCTTTATCACGGTGGGCGAGTTCCTGTTCCCGATCTACAGCATGGGTTTCATCTACATCAGCATCGCGGTCAAGCTGTGGACGCACCGGACGCCGCCGGGGCAGGTCACGGCGCGCCACCGGGAGATCATGCTGGTCCGCAAGCAGAAGACCATCCCCATGCTCATCACCGTAGTGGTGGCCTTCTTCGTCTGCTACGCCCCGTACCACGGCTACAACCTGGCCATGAACTACTACCAGGAGGAGTGGCACCAGACCGTCCCCCATTTCTACACCATGTATTACGTCATCGAGAGCGTGGCCATGCTCAACGCCGTCATCAGCACGTTCATCTATTTCGTCATGAGCCCGATGTTCCGTAAGGAGACCCGCAACCTCGCTGGACGGATCCTGTGCCGGTGCCCGCCGGTTTTTTTAGGGATCCGGCGCGTGTCGTTCCACTCGGCGGCTAGTCACTCCTACAATACCACCCGGAACGGTTCCGCGCTCCGTAAACCTATTGGTCTGGTTGGACCGGATAACACACTTGAAACTAAGATTTGAAATCAGTGTATAGTAAGCAAATAAAAGGGGGGGAAAATTGTCAAAACACACCAGGGAGAGAAATTCGACTACAACAGCATCAGACAGAACCTTTATAATGGAGTGACTTCGAAACTCGGTTCACAAGAGGGCGCCACCCATCTGCTCGTCCTTAGGAAATTCGCCTGTGACGTCAGAGAAAAGCATTAAAGCTCAAATAGTGCCCCACACTGTACTCCTCCTTAAATGTTCAGAAATGAACATGGAGGACACACAACGTGATACAAAACTGGGTTGGTGCAGTTTAAAGGTTCTCCCTCAGGATAGGGAATTTAAGAAAGTTTCACCCAAGGATTTATGGATTTAAGAGAGTGTAGTCCTTACGCTGGATAATACATAATTTCGGGCGAGGACCATTAGTCGACTGGAGGTTGATTCTGGACGTAACTTACGCCTGCGCACTAATAGCAACGTGCGAACGTATCTCGTCAAAAGATTGTCAAAACGTCATAACAAAAGTGTTTAGTCCCAACCTCGTTCCCAGGGTGTCGAGCGGTACGCGTCCACCACTACCTGCTATCTCACCCTAGTATTGGATCAGTTGCATGTGCTACATTTTTGAACACGTATGCAAATGAGGAAGAGTCTGGTGCCTGCCTGTGCGTTACATTATGCGTTTGTTTTTGTATGGGATGTCCGGGGTAAAAGCAAAATGAATTCGCCGCGGCGTGAGTTACGAAAACACGATTGTTTTCGAAGTTAAAATGTTACAATCTTATCCCGCAATTTGCAGTATCACATTTCATATTAATATGAGCAAATTGGAAAAGATAGGATTATTTTTGAGAAGGCGTGGACGTATTAGAATGATCGTGAAAATACGTACTGCACGCGGGAAATAACAACACCAAGTACACGATATAAATTCATTACTAGCTAACTGCAGTATCGATCAGGATACAGGATGAAAGTTTCCTATCCAGGGCTTTCTATTGGAAACGAGGTTGGAAATAAAGTAAGCACTGGGGACGCGATTGGTTTAGTCCTGGCTCCCTGTTGTACATTATGATGTGCGCAGCTATTGGAAACCAGTGATGGAACTGTGCCCCTGGCTCCGGTTCCAAATAGTCGAGTAGAAGAGTCCAACTGCAACTATCCTGCGTTCGAGTGAAGTTATAGTAGAACAGCGATTCATTTATTATAGATCGCGCCCGAACTTGCCCATGGATACAGTTAAACAGTGTCAGTGCCTTCGGTGTTTATTGCGCCCTCATTCTGTGCAGACATTCTACCTGGTCGGATACCCTGACTACAAAACAGCCCAGGGATACGGACTTGCGTATTTTAATGCTAATCCCATTTCAGGGACCTGCCATCACCGGTGTAGAATCATATTGTACAGTATATCAAAGTTACCCATTTGATGATTTTGAATGTAATTGCATTTTATTAACTTTTCTTCTTCTTTTCATTACTGTACTTTATTTCAGTTGCCTGCTGTTAAAGTTTTAAGTATCATGTGATGACAGAGCTTGCCATTATTCCAGACTTTATGAAAAGTATAACCATTATTGTAGTTGCATATTATATTACCTCTTGTATTGCCTGGAGATACATTGGTTGTTTTAACCACGTAAAATCGCCTTTGTGTTCTTTCGTATGCTCTGGTTTTACATCGTTCATCGCTTCTAGTGGTCGATTTAATAAGTACGCTTACGGGATACGTATATCGGCTCGGAAAAGTTGCTTGTTAAATCACCATTTTTGCATGGTTATTGCATCTCGTACACTATGGTCAATGTGCATTTTACTCTTAAAAAATGATAAATAGTGCTCTAACCAGCTAGTTTTTCCTAGCCACATATTGTACGCGTAACATTTCTAATGGTTCCCTTTTATCTTTGACGGAGAAATTGGGGTGTGTGTGGACAGGGTGGTGAACATTTTGTGAGAACGTGATGAGATTGCATGCATTTGTTATGGTGCATGCGCTTGGAGTGCTAGAATGTATAACAGCAGTTTGCCACTTTACAATCTTTGCGAAAGCTCCGTTTGCATCTTAAGATTATGTGAAATAGATTAACACTATAAGTGCCCTTTTCGCGATGGGTATATGTTACGCTCCAACTCTAGCATCATCGCTATATTCGACTCTAGCTATATTCGAGATCGTCCCAACCAACAGCCCCTCCCTATAGTTAGGACTGATGTACCAACTATAGTTGGGGCCATTGCTATTGGGGCGTATCAGGCATTACTTCAACTCATAAATATTCGTGATCAAATTGGAGCAGGTAAAAATGATACGCGCCCAGGTGACGTACTACCGGTGAGTATCCAGCTCGCTGCCGTGCGTTATTTTTTTCTGGTAGCACCAAATATTCCCTCTGGAACCCGCCTCGTAGACATGTAGTCTGTGGCAATATAATCTTTACGGGACCTGTTTGTTGTCGTAGTCCTATAACCACTGCAGTAAAGACACACTTAAGTGTGTCGGCGCCAGACATTTCATTGACTGATGAAGAACTTGAATACCTTGTGCTTAAAAAAGATGCAAAATCAACGAAGGCCGTTATCGACAAGGCAGTGTGGCTACTAAAAATGCAGTGAGGCTACTAAAAATGTATGAGCCATACTAGTAAAACAAATACAGCATGGTTTATTTCTGGAAAATAGTTGGAATTACTGGTCCCTCGGTGAAGATCAGCTTGACTACCTCCCGACGCGAATCAAGTTGATCTACACCGAGTGACTTAATGGGACATGTCGAAAAACAGTTGAAGTCCAAACAATAGGAACAATAAGGGTCCTCACTATATAGTACAGTAAAACCAGACGGTGTGTGGGTGTGTAGTGTGGGTGTTGTTGAAGGCTGCTATATTGTGTGAAGACTGTTAAACACAGGAAAAAAACATTAATAATGAAATTATCAAGAGTTTGTCGAGAGAATGCGTTTTAGTACGATTAGCCTCGGGAGTGAAAAATTCATGAAATTACATCTGACCAGAGTGGTGGAGCAAAACCAAAACGATGCGTGTGTGTCTCAAAAGAGTGAAGTGTCAACATGTTCTTGTGGATGATATGATAGTGATGGGGCGGGGACTGTCCACTAAGCAAACTGGAAAGTTGTTTGTGAACATGATTCTTAATAAATCATCGAGAGAGTGATTACAGATAGAGGAAAGGGGGCGAGCGAGCGATGGCTTTTCTTCTCCAGACGATATAAATTGTAAATTTGGCGGGAGAGCAAATCTGACGAGGTTTTTTTTTACAGTCGAGTAATAAAAATAATCAAATCAACAAAAAAAATCAAAATCAAAGGAAAATCTAGCAGAGCTGGTCCTAGGGCGGTCAAATTCTATTCAAAGGGAGGCTTTTGAGACGTTGGTGGCAGCAAACACACCGCTCCTTTTTACATTGTTTGTGTCATATTGGGCAAGCGTGCTTTAGCTTAAACATGACGCACACAATTGAAAGGGCCGGTGTTTTTGCTGCCACCAACGTCTCAAAAATCGCCTAGTGATTCAGAATGGCCATTCACCAAAAGTCTTTTCCCGCATTTGGTCTACACATTGGGACGGTTTAACTAATTCATTTGGGTTACAGGATAATCCTATACAATAGCACTGCCCGGTTTTCTTCATCAGTCTACAGCCAGTATAATTAGTGACGGAGTGCGTTAGTCCGTGAGTCTGTCAGTGAGATTGGTACGCAGAAGACATGTGCACTTCGGTGTTTCTCTTGGATCAACAAAAGTAAGGCAATAACAAAGTGAACTAATATTCAGGTGCGATATCATCGTTGAATTAATAAAAATGCGAACAGGTTGTTTAAACTACATTCAAGACAAATCAAGCCGATCTCGGAGGGAAGAACCGTATGTAACTGGAGCGTATTCGGGATTTCTGTTTCAGTGTTTATGTTATAGTGGTAATAATAGTAGTTAATAATAATTACCGAATACGGTACATTAGGGAGACATTCCTGTTAATTTGTTAACAAACAAAAAAACATGAAAAACCTTCCAATGGCCCCATATGAAAATACTCCCCTCCCCAAACATTTTTAATCACAATATTCTCGAGCTAAGGAATCGTTTTAAACAACTTGCTACACTAAAATGCGTTCTAGAAATTGTAGTTAAAGCATTAGGAAGAGACTACAATGTCTCCCTAATGACCAGTGTCTCCTTTACCCCTTACGGAAAATAAGTTATTACAAAGTGTTCACCTGAGGTACCATTTAAGAGAATATACGTGTGCTTGGCCGGTTTAAACACTCTGTTTAAGACCGATTTGGAGTCTGGATGCTAATAATGAAAATACATTTCAGTCAAAAAATCATGTGCCGTTTCAGACCGGAATTGGTAAACTGTCTTAGGTATTTAGGAATGTAGTGTGTCAGTACTAATATAGCGCTATTCCAAACAAGTAATGATTGCGCCTATAATCGAAGAGAGAAAAAAAAGCTTAATGAAAATCAAAACATTTCAATATGAAAAGATAAGCATAAAGACAAAATCAAACACATGGGTTTCGAATAACGTTTTGATGCTTTTGGGTAAGTTGTAATTCTGATATTTCTTAAAATAAGAACCACAAACCGACCTCTGAATGACCAAATTTTCAGTCGAGAACGTACCTCTTTCATGTCATACACAACAATGAATGTACAGAGTTTTTTTGTGTGGATTGTGAGTATGAGTTATCGCGATGGGATATTGTTTATCTTTTATATAATAGGAGACGCTCGTTTTGCCTTTTTCTGAATTAATCTGACAGTTGTCTTTTAATTAGTTTGTACAAAATATACATTCAGGAATCGAATAATGTACATTGTATTCTTGTAATTAATATTCGTATATTAATGCTTTCATAACTCGTTCCTTTCACGAGTGCGATTATTGTACATCAATATTCTAAAATATTTATTGGATATTTTTATGTTCCACATTGGAACAACACCATGCATCAGTTGGTTATTATAACTAAGCTATAAACAAGGTTAAATTATTATCTTTGGATTTGAGAGGCGCAAGCGCAGTGAGAGCAGATATGAGCGTGATAAACCTGTATCATAGAAATAGTATAGACCAATCCGGGCACGCTAACAATTCTATCACGCAGGCCCCCTTCAATGGCGAAAGCACTGTGTGCTAGCTATTGTTCAGATAATTCGTCACGGGCAGTTCTTGTACTTGGTACTTGGTACTTGGTAGAACTTCCCCCTTAAGTCTCCGCAAGGAGAAGGAGGCCCTCAAGAGAGTGGAAACTAATTTGATTTTGAGTGGTCATCACATTGTAGTTGCCATTAACTGTTGCTAAAAACTGCTGGTGAGGACGAGTCATTAACAGTCTGATGAAGATCATTCCATATACATTGATTGTTCTCGGAAAGAACGAGTGTTCAAGTGTTGATGTTCAGATGTGGATTCTCTCAAATTGTTTTTTGTTGCCTTTTCTTGACCCCTTATAGGTTTTTGGCTTCAGGGTGTGACTAGAATCTATATGAATGATGTAAACACAGGTGATTTTGAATAGGGTTGTAATCTGGCGATTATCACGCCTTATGTTGAGCCGGTGCCCCAATTTAAGGCTGTCAGCATGATAGTCACCCTACTGTTTCTTGAGTAGTAGCCGCAAACAAATCTTGCAGCCCTTCTGCAGGTCCTTAATACAAACAGTTACCTCCTTGATTTGGTTCAAGAGAAACACGTTTTGTTACACAATCAAACTTACATGGTTTTTAATATGTGTCGCGCAACATCGTTGCCCTTTATCAAAAACTGTTA